TCATATGCAGATCCTAGCTTCAAATCTTTTGCTTTGTGTGTTTAACTTGGTGCTCAAGTGGAAACTAGCAATTGAGAAAGGTTACTTTCTGTAGGGGGCATGTTAAGGGAGGAGAAGGGAGAATAAGTTATAGGTAAAAGGTGGAATACTGGGGACCAGAAAGGCTTAAGCAGGGAGGGTTGTGGGAAGATGGGAGAAACCAGTGGATAGAGGGGAGGGCTAACCCCAAGGAAGGGCACACGAGAACTCATATGGAGGCCCACTGTCTCACAACCCAATTGAAAAAATAATTGGAGGAATGTCAGAATATAGATGAAAAGAAAGAAGAAGCAGAGATACTGGGGGTTAAAGGATTTATCAGGGTCGGGGATGGGAGTAGGACAGGAAGGGGTAGGAGGGAGTAGGACAGGAAGGGGTAGGAGGTGGGTTAGCAAAAACTAAGGATGTATGAAAAAACCTTATGGAAACCTAGGTATCAGTAAACTAATTTTAAAATACAACTTAAAAAAGGAGTTAGAGCCGGTTGTGGTGGTGCACGCCTTTAATCCTAGCACTAGGGAGGCAGAGGCAGGCAGATCTCTGTTGAATTCAAGGCCAGCTTGGTCTGCAAAGCGAGTTCCAGGCCAGCTGGGGCTACAGAGAGACCCTGTCTCAAAAAGACCAAAAAAAAAAAAAAAAAGGAGTTAGAAAGTAATTACCCTGTGTGGGTGGACAGTGTCCTTCCCAAAATACATAGGTTATTAAATGAAAATTGCAGTGCAAGACAGAGTGGAAGAATTTTGAATGACTTGTCTTGTCAGAAGTGAATATTGGGGACCTGGAGAGTGAGATGGCTCAGTGAGCAAACTGCTTGCTGTGGAAAGTGTGAGGACCTGGATTCAGATCTTCAGTACCTACGTAGTCAGGTGGTGTCCTATAATCTCAGGCAGAGCTCCCTAACCAGCCAACCTAACTAATCAGTGGGTTCTAGGTTCAGTGAGAAACGCTATCTCAAAAAAATGTGGAGAGAGATACTTGATGTCAACCTCTGGCCTCCTTGGGTGAATGCACAGGTATATGCACTCACACATATGCATACAGCACACACCACATACACACATGAAGTGAATGTTTTAGTTTGAATAGGAGAGTGACATACCTTTTCCAGGCCTCACATTCTTCAGGGCACTATGCCCTTTGCTTGTCCCTTAGGCCATTGTGCTTGTAAACAGTCCAGTCCTGTGAGGGAGGAGTCACTCAGTGTTTATCATCTGGAAAACCTGTGCACAGATAGACCTAAGCAGAGAGTTTTATGCAATTGTCACTGAATGGCTCATTGTTTCTATGAGGGGACAAGTCATAGGATTTAAAAGGGCTTTAGCAAATAGGAAAATTGCACCGATAGTGGAAGGCTTACTATTAAAATGCTAAAACCTCTCCAGGTGGATTTGTTATTGTAGTGCTGGCTTTACTTGTTGCTGTGCTTTCCTTCCGAGGTCCCTTGGCAGTTAGAACTCTAGGTCATGTGTGACAGAAAACCCAGACTGGACCAACTCTGATGAAAGAATGGTTTTATAGAGTTGAGGCTTCCTAGCAGATTTAGGACTTGGTCTGTCTCCCTCTGTTCTCTCATCCTCTCCCTCGCAGTCTTCCTTCTGTCAAGTGGCAAGATGTCTTATACCATCTGAGTCTTAAGGCCTAGTGGGCAGGGCACCTTAACTTCCCTCATTCTAGAATTACTAACAAGGAGTGGTTGGCTCTGATTGGCCAACCCCTATCCCTTGCTGTTGGCAAGCTGTTTGCTATGCACTGATTGGCTCAGGCTTAATCCTGTGTATACTCTTGGAGCTAGAGGTGTGGTCAGGCATGGAGGATACAGATGCCAGAAGGAGAGTGACAGTGGATGCTGGCCAGCTACAAAGCAGTCAGATCCTAGAGGAGACACACTTTAGCATTTGTTAGAGGTGTGAGCTATGTTTAGTGACATGTTCTAGAAGGTGAAAGGGGCACAAGAGGTTATGGGTATTGAAGACAAGGAGTGATGAAGTCTAGGTGAAGAGTGGGGCTCTCTGGTAGGAGTGCAAGGCAGCAAGGGAAACTGGTGCTTTGTTTTCTGGCCAGTGCACAGTGGTTCTAGGTGATCTGGGGACATCAGTGCCAGGGTGGCCTTTGGCTCTCTGAGACAGATAGGTGCTCATGGACCTCTGAGACTTCCCCAAGTTGATCCATAGTCTGTGTTCTCAAGTCCCTCACACTTACCTCTCTTTGTGGCATGTTTTAAACTGTGCATCCCATGTGCAGAGGAGGTGGGAGGTGCAAATCTGGAACCTTTGGTCACTGAACCAACCTTCAAACCCAGCCCTACCACTGATTAGCTGTATGGCTACGGGCAAATCGAGCCACAGTTTCCTTACCTGGAAGACAGAACTACCAGTGACATTGTCATGTAGATTTAGAAGTTGTGCCATGGGGACTGGGGAGATGAGCCGACTGAGTTGGTCAAGTGCCTGCCATACCAGCATAGTACGAGTTAGATCCTCAACATCCATGTAAACCTCTGGCTGTAGTGGTGTATGTTAGGGGTGGAGACAGGTAATCCCTGGAGCTCATTGGCCAGCCAGGCTAGCCAATCAGTGAGCTCCAGGTTCAGTGAGAGACCTTGTTTCAAAAAATAAAGTGGGGAACAATAGGGGAAGACACCCATAAGCACATGCATACATGCACCCTCTTATCCACACTATACGTACATATACCGGTAACATATACACACAAATGGAAACAAAACAAGTTGTATATTTTTGTAAATATGTGAGCATACTTGTAAATCACTTAGGGATTACCTAAGAAGAGCTTAACTTCTCAGACTACTGTTAAGGTAAAAGATGTATTGTTAGTCTGTTTTCTGGTGCTTAGTAACACAGTATCACAAATTGGGCGAATTATAGAGAGGTTTCTTTTGGCTCATGGCTCTAGCCCTTGTTTGGGCTATGTCTGGTGATGGGCTTCTTATTGTAGAGTCCTGCAGTGGAACAGGACCTCCATGGCCAGAGACTCTCTCCCTCATCTCATGAAGCTGCCTGCATCCTATCACTGGACTCATCTGAAGACCTTATCTAATTCTAGTCACCTCCCAAGGGCCTCAGCTCTGAACACCGCAGTCAAATCAAGCATCCACTATGTCAGCACCTCCTCATGGGAAGTGAATTCCCACACGAGCTTTAGAGAAGACATACATGCCAGTGTTGATATTTAGAAGGTTCCAGGCTTGGTGAGGAGAGTTAGGCTCTGCCGCTGTTCCTCATTTTCTTATGTTCTCTCTTCCTGCTGCAGGAGGGCCTGGTTCTCTGTGTGCAGGGCAGGTAGGCTCTGGGATCCAAATGTTTGTGAGAAATGCCAATCCATTCTGACCATAGATTTACCTGCTTCTGGCTAGTACATATCTGGTAAAGAGTCCTCTATGAGTGTACGAAGTGTGAGACCCCCCACTCCCTGCCCACACCATCCATACCCTTCACAGTGTCCCTCCTGCTTATTGGTAGACACCCTTGTCAACGCATGTTGTGAGCTCTGCCCACAACGTGTGTCTCAGCTTCTCAGCGGGTCTCAGTTTTCCCTTATTAACATGCCCAGCAGTGAAACAGCAGGGCTTGCACTTCCCTGGTAAAGGTGCTGTGTCTCAGAGGTTGATTATTTGAAATGCAGTTTCTCTAGCTCGTTGTGTCAAAACTGGCATTTGAAGTATGCATGAGGATCCTTGCTAATGGCCATTTATATTAGTGAGGACTCTCCACAGAAATAGCGCTCTTTCTGTCTTTCTCTCCCTCCCTCCCCTCCTCGCACGCACGTGTGTGTGTGTGTGTGTGTGTGTGTGTGTGTGTGTGTGTTTGTGTGAATGGGAGGGAGACGAGAGCCACATACTTATAGGATGTTGCATTCAAGTTCCAGTCTAAATGCAGCAGACTTGAGATCCAGAAGGACACAGTATTTCAGTATGAGTCCAAAGTCAGTCTGTTTGGCTGGGTGTGGTGGTGCACGCTGATGAGGTAGAAGCAGGAGAATTGTGAGTTTTGAGGGTAATCTGGACTACATAGCAAGTCTGTCTTAAAAACCCAAAACGGGCTGGAGAGATGGCTCAGTGGGGAAGAACACTGCTCTTGTAGAGGACGTGGGTTTGGTTCCCAGCACCCACATCACAGTTAACACCTGCAACTCCAGTTCTAGGGGATCTTGTGCCCTCTTTTTGGCCTCTGTGGGCATTGCACAACACAGGTGCACTTACATACATGCAGGCAAAACACTCATACATTAAAAAAAAAGACCCAAACAAAATGAAACAAAAAACCAACCAAAACAAAACCCCAAAATGATGACTAGTGGGCAGGGAAACTTTCCTGACTCCTCCAGGGAGTGTTCTACTCAGGCCTTCATCTGATTGGATGAGGCCCACTCACACTGGGGAAGACTCTTGGCTTTAATCAATAGTGTACATCTTCAGCTCCCATTCACAAACACCCAGAAAAATGTGACCACATGTCTGGGCACCCATGGCCCCATCTGCTTCCCACATGATGTTCTCTATTATCGCTGTCACTTTGGGGCTCATGATTATTTTCTGAGTTTATGCAGGTGGAAAGGCTGGTATTAAAGCATCACAGACAATGGAAGTCTTGAGGCCAGTGTTTTCCTGGATCTTCCATGGGTAAATGTGCAAGGCCTTTATTTTTGCAGACTTATTTTGTCATCATAAACAATTAGGAGGAAGGAAAGCAAGCTTACAAGTACTGGCGAGACAGGGATAAAGTCAGAGCCCCTGAAACGCCCTCCCATGGTCAGCACTTAATTTTTCTCCAGGGCCAATAACTAGCTGAGATGCCACATTCATGTGCACAGTGAGGTTTGCAAATCAAGAGTTTGCCCATTGTAGAATTTGTGATACTCAAGAAATACAGAGCTGTGATTCCTCAGCCTGAAGCTCTCTGAGCCCTCAAGTTTGTGAACATTCCCTTTTTGAAACATTCCAGATGTTTCTTCAACCTAGCACGTCTCAGTGAACACAGCAGGAAGCTCTGGCCACTTCGCAAAGCCAAGTGCACCCTCCAGATAGCTGTGAATCAACCAGGAGGAGATGTAGGGCTGGCTGCCTGAAAAAGGTGTGTGTGGATCATGTTTACAGGTTAGACCTTCATCCTGGGGGTTGGGGATGGGTGGTTTCTCTTGTTAGTCTTGGATGGCATGTGGCATTTGGAACTATTTCTGAGCTTAAGTTGCCCCACCCATCCAGTATTGGAGATGGAGTTGGTAGGGGATTATGAATCACTTGGGACAGAATGCAGAGATTTTATTCCTGTTGGGTAAGGAAGGTGGAGAGAAAAGAATGTGTTGATGGTGAGAATGTGGGGTCAACAGTGTTGGTAAGGTTAGCATTTTTACTTCTGAACAAAGCCTGCTTCTAGGGTCACTGGTTAGGTTGAAAGAGGACACAATCTTCTCTAAGGGTGTTTGGCTAGGAATTAAGCAGTGTTAAGTGCTATTAAAACTACTTATGTCTTTATTATAAGTACCCTTTAATGTTTACTTTTTCTTCACAGAAGCTAAGTTGCTGAGGGACCAGCCTGATTTGACTCTTAAGAGTGACATCTTTCATAACCTTCCCTTATGGCTGGCTGCTCTGAGTGAGGAGCTGTCAATAGAGAAGGCTCCTCTTTTCTTTGCCCCCAATATTTTGAGGTAGGGTTTTATATATTCCAGTATCCCAGGCTAGCCTCCAAGTCATTGTGTAGCCAAGGCTGGCCTTCAACTCTTGATCCTTCCATCTTGGCCTACCGAGTTCTGGGATTGCAAGGCTTGTACCACCATGCTGGGCTTTAGCTGCCTCTCTGTAGGCTGTCATCATGGTATCCCAGCTACTGTGAATATGTCACAAGTGCCTTGAGGAAATTACACCTAGCTGCAAGGGATGCTGCTGCTGAAGCCACAGACCTCCAGTGCAGGAGGCCTCCCTCTAGTTGAGACCCTTCCAGGAAACTTGCATTGTGTTTGGAAGACCCCACTCCAGGAAAAGCAAGAGTGAGCTCTAGATGACGCTGCCCACCTGGCAGTTGTTCTCGCTTGGGATAGGAGGGGAAGTGCCTTTCTATCGATTCATCAAAAAACCTGCAGTTTCTGCAGTGTAAGACTTCTGGTTAGTTCATGAGACCTGTGATTAATACATATGTAAAGACTGCTATTGGTGGATATGGAAGGTGTTAACTGATGGAATTACAGTGTTGTACAAGTATGACATGTCCCTCTTCTGGCTATATAAGCAGGCTGTTTCTCACCATTTGGGGGACTGGCCTGGGAGTTTGTTTTCTGTGTTCCTCCCACTCCATTGCAACAATCCCCAATAAAGGCTTCTCTCAAATGGTCTTTTATTGCTTGCTTGTTATATTTATCATGGCTGGCATGGGCTGAACTGATTGCAAACACCCACTCAGCAGCAGCATGAAAGCAGCTGCATAGTTCCAGAGAGTGGATGGGAGCAGACACTGTAGAGAGCTGATGCCACTGAAGCTGAGAGGCTGTGAAGAGATGAAGGCAGGTTTTCTAGACTGCCATCAAGGGCTAAAGACCGAGGGTCCTGACACCTGATGCTCAGGAGCTATAACTCCAGTTGCAGGGTACCAGGCTGCCATCAATCAAAGCTCAGAGCAGCAAGTCTCTGACCTGAGCACTGACAGCTAAATGTCTCTAGTTTTGAAAGTCTGGAGCCATAAGCCTCTAATTGTCAGGACCCAGAGCTATAAGCTAGTGGGTTTTAAGGCCAGCCCATAAACCCCTAACACTCAAGAGCTCATTTGTAACAAGGTGGCTAGTTGCATGCGTCCCTTTGGTTTAGTGTCTTACCATTAGGTTTGGTGTTTGTACCATTCTTCATCCTGTATTTGGAATCTGGGTAGACCCACACCTGCGCCCACATATGTCCCTGTGAGGACACCTGGGAGTACAAATGACTCTGCAGTGAGGCATGGGATTGCCAGTTTTATAGCTGGCTTCTTTGTTACCAAGGTCTTGCCTCTCATTTACGCTGTTGTATGACCTTTCCTGGGGAGATGTGAGCAAACTTCTGTTCACCTCAGATAGGGCACCACCAACAGACCAAAGAAATGGTTTCATGTAAGTCTGGCTTGGTGACTGAGCTTCTTGGGGTTCCTTTCAGGACATGGGTGACTCAGAGGCAGTTGTATCACAGTAAAGCACACTCCACAATGCATTCTCTGCAGCGTGTAGATGGCTATATCACAGAAATGTCCCCTAGGTTCAGCAGTGTTTACTGCTTATATAATTTTGGGAGGAAGTCTCATGAGTCTTTTAAATTTCTTGTGAGTTTGCTGAGTCATCTTTCCTTTAAAAAATTTCATTTATTTAATGTGTATGAGTGATATGCCTGCATGCATGTAAGTGCACCATGTCATGCAGTGCCCATGGAGGTCAGAAGAGGGTGTTGGACCCGCTGGAACTGGAGTTATGGATGGTTGTTAGCCACCATGTGGGTGCTGGGATTTGAACCTGGGTCCTCTGCAAGAGCAGCCAGGGCTCTTAACTG